AATTTTTCTATAATGTGCCGTAGAAAAAATATACTGTACAACTCGAGTGGATTGTCTATATCCACTCTTGTTGCACAGCCTACTATTTAAAACAAATAATGTTTTTATATTTTTAAATATAAAAATGAAACATTTAAAAAAGTTTTCTACCCTTTTTAGACATTTCTACACATTGTATACTTGCATATGATTTTTATAATAAAATAACGGATGTCCCATTTTTCGCTTCTTCATAAAAATATAACAACGTTGTTGGTTTTGACTCGTTAGTTGTTCGACATAAAATTGAAATTTTCAGGTCGCACCATCTATTTAAAAGTACTTAAAAGCTTGATGTAATGTTGGTGGCGGTAATATGATTAAAATTACGTTAAAATTAAAAAAAAAATTATTGTAAAGAACTTGTAAATAAAAAAAAAATAATTTTTTTTTGTGTAGAGCCTCTAACAAGAATACATTCTATTTACTCAAATAATTTTTATAGCGCTTATTGATGACTTTTTTATTATTTTCTCAATTTTTTTTTTCACTTTTCAATATATTCAAGAGAAAGTTTAATACCATTAGAATATTATAAAAGCAAATTAGCATAGATTTATTGCCTATTAAGCCCGTCTTGCATGTTGAAAATTTCTCCTATGCTAATACATTTGCTAACGTCACCAAATCTGCTAAGAAAAACTATTACAAAAATCGCATCGCAAGAGCTAAAAACTCCTCCAAAGAAACCTGGTCTATAATAAATGACTTAAGGAATAAAACCCGTTCTTCAAACAGTGTAAATCCTAGCCCAGATGAACTAAACAATTATTTCGTAAATGTAAGTAAAAATATCAAATCTAACATAGCTCCGAGTCAGGATGCTCTCTCCTACCTACTAAAAGGATCACTGAAAGTTTCTTCCTAAGACCAGTAGACAAGCATGAACTAGTGCAAACCATAAACAACATCCAAAATAAATTTTCCTGTGGAATTGATGGCCTGTCCACCAAAATATTTCTAAATATACCGGATGTAGTAATCAACATTTTAACTTTACTGATTAATGAATCCTTTGAAATTGGTCTCTTTCCTAACTGTCTAAAAACAGCTATAATAATCCCACTTCATAAAGGTGGCGACAAAACCAAAACCTGTAACTATAGACCTATCGCGTTATTGCCTACCTTATCGAAGATAGTAGAACGGCTAATGAAAAACCGTCTTTTGCCCTTTCTTTTCAAGCATAACATCCTCACAGCTCATCAGTATGGCTTTCTACCTAAAAAATGCACTAGCGACGCAATGTTTTCCGTTCTTAATGAAATATACACATCACTTAATGATAAACTTTTCACCGCTTCAGTATTTTGTGACTTCGCAAAGGCCTTCGATTGTGTAAATCATGATATTTTAATTAATAAGTTACAAATTTATGGCATACGGGGTTCTCCTATACAATGGTTTAAAACTTACCTAGAAAATAGAAATCAACAGGTGCATGCGAATGGTGAGGATTCTACAAATCTAGCAATAAGCAGTGGAGTACCTCAAGGATCAGTATTAGGTCCAATTTTGTTTTTATTATTCATCAACGACATCACAGACTTAAGAATAAGTGGTAGAATTACTTTATTTGCTAATGACACCAGTGCAACCTGGAATAATTCTAACATGCAGACATTACAATCTATCATAAGTGAAGATCTAGTGACTATTAAGTCCTGGTCTGATTCGAATGGACTTTGTTCCAACACCAGTAAAACTGTAGCATTGTCTTACAGAGGTACTTTACAACCTATAACTTTAAACAATAATCTGATCCAAACGGTGACTTCAATCAAGTTTTTAGGTCTTTATATAGATGATTCTCTAAAATGGTCTGCTTATATAGATACCTTAGCAAAAAAATTATCCTCCGCATGTTTTGCCATTAAATCGGTTTCTAAAGAGCTGACTCCTTCTACTGCATTAATAACCTACTTTTCCTTATTCGAATCTCACCTTCGCTATGGTTTACCTTTCTGGGGTTCTTGTAGCTTATACTTTTTCGAATCTATTTTTAAACTGCAAAAAAGAGCAATCCGCTATGTATTTGGTTTAAGTAGTAGGACACATTGCGAAAATTACTTCAAAAATTTCAAAATTCTAACCCTTCCTGCTCTATTTATTTTCGAATCCGTCTGCTTAGTTCGCAAGCACATTCAAAATTTATCCGAAAGACCGACTCGTAGATATCCTACAAGAAATTTAGAGACTGATGTTTATTTAACAATGCCCACTTCTGACCTATTAAAACATTCCATTACCTACAATGCCAAAAAATTGTATAATAACCTTCCGATGCAATTAAAATCTATAAATACATACTAGCCCAATCGGATTAGGTGAAGAACAGGCTTGAGATTCTGAAAAATTCGAAGCAGCAATTTTCCTTCGGAATTCGTTGGAGGGGGTCTGTGGTAGTCTAAATTCAAAAAGTTGGGATTCCAAAGTTGTCGTTACCTCCGCCAGCTTAATTTAAAGGGTTATTTTTTGTATCTTGAATAACTCATTTATTTTCAATTTTACACGGAAAATAGTTTTTACAAAAGTTATTTATAATTAAATTTCCTACAAGTCTGCGTTTTTTTTGTACGATCGATTTTTTTCGATTTATACCCGAAAAGAGGGGGTGAATTTTTGGTTATAGAATAACTCGTTTATTTTTAATTTTACGAGAAAAATTGTTATAAACAAAGTTGTTTAAAATTAAATTTCCTACAATTCTGTTTTTTTTTGTACGCTCGATTTTTTTGTATTTATCCCTGAGAAGAGTGGGGGTAAACTCTTAGAAAAAATCGGAATCATAATTGTACCAAATATCATTTTTGAAAATCAGCAAAAAAAACAAACAGAAAAAATAATGGTACAACATCAATAATAAACGTGACAATACAATACTTAGGTTCACCCCCACTCTTCTCAGGGATAAATACAAAAAAATCGATCGTACAAAAAAAAACAGAATTGTAGGAAATTTAATTTTAAACAACTTTGTTTATAACAATTATTCTCGTAAAATTGAAAATAAACGAGTTACTCTATAACCAAAAATTCACCCCCTCTTTTCGGGTATAAATCGAAAAAAATCGATCGTACAAAAAAAAGCAGAATTGTAGGAAATTTAATTTTAAACAACTTTTTTTATAATAATTTTTCTCGTAAAATTGAAAATAAACGAGTTATTCTATAACCAAAAATTCACCCCCTCTTTTCGGGTATAAATCGAAAAAAATCGATCGTACAAAAAAAAAGCAGAATTGTAGGAAATTTATTTTAAATAACTTTTGTAAAAACTATTTTCCGTGTAAAATTGAAAATAAATGAGTTATTCAAGATACAAAAAATAACCCTTTAAATCAAGATGGCGGAGGTAACGACAACTTTGGAATCCCAACTTTTTGAATTTAGACTACCAGAGACCCCCTCCAACGAATTCCGAAGGAAAATTGCTGCTTCGAATTTTTCAGAATCTAAAATACTAATCCGATTGGGCTATACGATAAGTTCCGAAGACTGGCTAAAGCTTTTCTTCTAGAAAGACCATATTACACAGTAGCATAATTTTATAACGTACCTTAGACATTTGAGTTCCACATACAATGGCATTAATTAAATAATTAAATATTAAAGTTTAAATTTAAATTTAAAAATTAAATTAGAATAATTATAATGACGGATATTGCATATCCATTGCAATTGTTATTCCTATTTTGTCTGTTTGTTTCTGTTTGTTTTTTCTGCTGTTTAGTTATTTTTATAATATGTTTAGTATTTAAGTTACACGCTTTGTCTATAAAATTTTTGTAAATTTTTTTACGACAATAAAGCATATCTGTCTCTCTCTCTCTAACAATTATTAATGACCTATTTTTTTCTTCTTTCTTTGATTTTATACAGCACTCTTTCATTCCATAATATTAAATAAACATTTAAAGCTTAAAAAAGCGTATTCCCAAATTGGGAACGAACATTATTATTCTCCAATAATCCCGTTTCATTTACAAAACTGACAGTAAGGCTTTTTTTTTATATAAAATTACTTCTTAATATCGTGAAAAGTTTCACAAAGAAAAATAAAAATTAAGCCTGCCCGATAATAACGGGTCTGTATCTTGCATGATACCCGCCATTCTGTCTGGTTTGATCGAAAAGAAAAACTCGCACGCAAAAGATATTTTACTAACACCTACGTGTTTCGCTTTCCAAAGTTTCATAACATTATTCCGAACTTTTACGGGTAATAAAGAGCTTTATTGAAATTTAGGGTATATATTATGCTGATATCAATTTGGATTTAGAGTTTTTTTGTTTTTGGTTCAAATAACTACAATTTTATGTTACTAGAATGTTCCAACGGAATTATTTATAGGGTAAACGAAAATTCATGTGTCCTAAATATTTGGGTATTTAATTAACATTATATGTATACAGGGTGATGCCGTAGTGATGCCATGGTGCATTTAGAAAGAGAAACAGTGAAACTCTCTTTAAATTTGATTAAGTTTGAACAATTGGTTTTTATTTTATTATCTTAAATATATGGAGATGTGCAAAATATCTAGAACTTGTATTATCACATGGGGATCTTGCTAGTCCAAATTATTTTGGAAGAGAAATCAAGCTTAACAAAAAATATACGTATAAGTTAATTTAAGAAAATGATTCTACTAAAGTAGAAGCTATTAAAAATTTTCCAGTTCCAAAAGATTCTCAGGAAGTTAAAAGATTTGTTGCTTTCGCTTATTACTGTAGAAAAAAAGCCTGTAATAACTAGATAGGAAAGTCATGTGTTGGACACATCAGATTTTTATATTTTAGATCATCATCAGTATTTGAATATGCTCCAATTAAGCAAAATATATATTTTCTAGGATATGATAATAAAAAACCGAACAAATTAAAATTTACTATTATTATTTTTAAATAAAAATGGTATTATTTTAAGAAAAAAACAAATAAATACTAAATTCACTCACCTACAACCTGCATAGTAACTCTGGAATTCCTCGTAGGCGATTTCAAATAATCAATTCTGCATCTGTACTCGCCTTCATCCTTTTCACCGACGTTGTCAACGCTCAGGGTGGAGGGTTCAGTCATCGTCCGGAAAAAAGCCCTGGATTCAAGGCTCGCGTCTTGCCAATGTTTCGCCAGCGTTGCGTGACCACCCCTGGTGTCGTAACTGAAACAGTATAATGAAATTACTATGGAGTTCAAAGGGGTTCGGAAGGCGGTTTTAGAATGTTGTGCCGATGTCGTGCAACATGGTTTATATTATCGGGGAGATAGAAACACGAATGTCAAATTTATTTAAATAATTTTTGGCAAAATTTCACATTAATTAAAATAAATCTAAATTAACTGTCAATAGAAATCATTAAAATTGTAGATACAGGAAGTTCTAGGTCCATAATAAAACCTTCATTAGTAAAAAAATATTATCCGCAAACAATTTACCATTCAGAACTTATCTTATTCACATGTACTGAAGTAAACAGATTAATACACTTTATTTTGTATGACTTTTATGAATTTTTTGATGGCGTTTTAGGATTAAATTAAACTTAAATATAGACCTGATAAAACAAAACCTGGGAGGTCATAGTAGAGGAGAAATGGGGACGCAAACGGAGGAAACCCCATGACGGACCAAACAAAGGAAAGCCCATGACATAGCAAACGGAGGAAACCATCTGGTAAACACCTGCATTTGGCCAAAAAAAATAATTATAATACATCCATCATACCCCGCATACAATATTTGCACACATGTTGACCATCTGGTATGTAATTTAATATCTCTGGGAATGATAACGACTTTATTTTCTCATTGAATATTTTTAACACATGTTAACCATCTAGCATGTAATTTAATATCTCTGGGAATGATAACGACTTTATTTTCTCGTTGAATATTTTTAACACATGTTAACCATCTAGCATGTAATTTAATATCTCTGGGAATGATAACGATGATAAAAACTATAATATGTAGAATGGATTTAAGGTTACCTTATTAAATGTCTAAATCAATGTTGGATGAATCGTTTCTTCAGTTTCACACTAGCCAAAACTCAAAATTTATTTCACAAAACAAACCACTTATTTTTACTATTTTCTAACACGTTAAATTTCTGTTCGTTTATATATTAGTGCGGTAGCAACTAAAATTAATTATCAAGCTTTAGTGTCAGCAATTTGCTGAGTTTAGTTCTAATAATAAATACATACAGTTCATCAAATTTCTAGAGGCTTTCGACGGCTAGACAGAGAAAGCACTACTGACAGGCATCCCGACGGATTTACGCAATGAAAGTACACTCTGCGCATCAAGTATTTCACTATTTCATTCAGACGTAAATGTCAGATGTAAATTTCGCTAAAACATTTCTTTTATTTTCGTTTGTGTTTTTTGCTCATTACAGTTTAATAGAACCTAAGTATGGAGTTTAATAGCAAATTAAGAGGCCGCGTGATTAACAGTCAATCTCGCGAAATAATAGCCAATGTTATAGAGTTTATGAGAAGAGAAGGAAACTTTAATTCACCTTCAATACCATTTAAAAATGTAAATGATCGTGTTGCTGGAGCCACAGGAGTATCTAAAAACACTGTCGTCCGCATTTCTGGAGAGAAAAAAAGAATCGATAACCGTGAGATATCGGAATTTTCATCACCAAGAAAAACCATTAAAAAACCAAAAACAGTTAATGATATAGATGAAGCTGCACAAGAATCAAATTTTATTTTTTTATTATTAGATAGCTATTTTTGTTTCTGAGTTGTGTTCATTTACAGGCTCAATTTTTTTCCGTTTCTCCTTTTTGATTTTATATGGGGTTTCAAGTTGTTTTTGACTTATTTCGACGTAAATCACAACAACACACTTTTTTAATAAAGCAAACAAGTGTTAAGAGGTATATGTACGTGTAAACTACAATTACAAAAAATTGATATGAAACCCATGAAACCACCAACAAAAATGTAAAGCTAGCTTCCGTACTAGAACATGGTGTCATTCGTCGAGATAATTTATCGTTTTGTTTAATAGATCAAGAAATGTAAATATTCCCCTGTTATTTTTTATAAAATTATAAGAGAAATAAATTTTTTTCTAAATAGTATAGCTTATTATTTTGTAGAAAAACAAAATTTCGAAAATTTTAGTAATGTTTCAGAAACAACCGTTATTAATAATTGGTACCATTTTCCTTAATAAGGTAGAAATAAAATATAAACTATTTCCACGATTTACAAAGGCCTACAAAAAAATTATAGGTATTTTCCGCTATCCTATAAAATTTATATTTTCTGACTCAATTTCAAAAGGTTGAAGGAATTCCAAAACACCTTTTATGGCATAATAATTATTTTCAATTCTACATACTATCTTTAGCTGCTTTTAAAAACGTTTTAAGAAAGTCCAGTCAGACCAATTTAATCCCTAAACTATTCCACACTTTTAAAATTTAATTACCTAAAAATATTAAAAACTATTTAAAATAACTTGTTTAACAGACTGTACAATAGCTATCTTAGTCACACGTAGCGCGTTCTCTGTCTGGGCGTCGAACACCTCTAGAAATTTGATGAACTGTACACTTTATTCTGTATGACTTTCATAAATTTTTTGATGGCGTTTTAGGTTTAAAATATATGATAATCTTAAAGTTGAATATAGACCTAATACAACAAAACCTAGGAGGTCATAATATTGAAATACCTGTATTGAAGTAATTTATTTGGAATGAGAAGAAAAATCAACAAAAAAAGTGCCAGTAAATATTGGTGATAATGATTTTTTAATAAAGAAAGCTTTGCTTATTTAGAAGTTCAAAATAGTCCTAATAAACTAATTTAAAGAAAGTGCGTTACAGTTATTATTCTAGGATTATTCGAACGTTTAAAAAGAAGAATAAAATCCTGAACCGCCGTTAAAATGTCGGCGGGTGGTTCATTAATATTTCTCGAACGCTCCAGAAGATCAAAAAAAATTCTGATCAATACTAGTTTCGGCTTTCATTAAAGCAACAGTTCCGCAATCAGTACATAACAATACCGAAACAACAAAAAGCGGTTTCTATTCGTCGAAGTGCGGCTTTCAGAAATCATTTCCACAATCCCGAAAATTTAATTTATCCGATGCAGTGTAGATTAAACTAAATGAATGTGCGCACGAAAGGCGATGAGTGAGAGAAAGCATAACCCAGAAGTTATGTCCATAAAACATAATGAAATTAATAATCTCGGTTGCAGCAGTTACTGAACCAGGAAATCACTTAATTTGAAACATATTCGGGTCCGTAATGGAGGATGGTTTTTGCTTGAATTCATACTTTGTGGAAGATAGTTGATGAGCTAGACCGGTAAGGTAAGTAAATAAGGGAGATAATATATTAAACAGTGTTGCATGAGGTTATTGCTTTAATATACACTGAAAAATGTAGAAATAACATTAAAGAGAAATTTTGAAATATTATAAATTAAATCTTAAAGATAAGACATAATAAAAACACATACAGGATGGACCAATCTTGTGGAAAAGTTCGATATCTTCCTTGTTAAAAGAGATATTAAAAAAGTGTATTAAGAAAATTATGGAAATATTCGAGGTTAACATTTTAAAATTATTGGGAGGTATACAGGGTGTTGCATAGCTCGTGTACGAACCAAACATATGTTATTTTTAATGATAACCTCAGTATATTATTTTAGATTTTACTCATATTTTTTCCATTCTTTTAATAAATGATTTGTCTATGTTGTATAGGGTACTTTTCAAGGAATTGACATTTTTGTGAGAGAATCGTACATAATTCAACGTCCAGCAGCCAATTACACACTGTAGAAAAAAAAGTTTTTACACACACGAATTTTATAATATGATGTATTATACTTTTTTTAATTATATTTTTATTATCTGTTTATTTGTATACAGGGAGACCCTTGATCAAATATCTCAAGCCTCGAGCACTGCCAAAACTAAGTTCATTGTTTCGAGAAAGCTCATTTAGGTAACTAAAAACTTTCTTAATTATGTTTCGGAAATGTTCATTTAAGTGTTTATCCTTTAAGATGAAAATTGGTAGTTTATCTTACAAAGCATTTTTTATAATGTAAGTTCTTTAAATTTTGTAGGTGCTTTACTAGGACAAACTTTTTTATAAACTCTTGGCCACTTTCTTTGATTATTTTCATGAACTACCTTAATATTAATCACAATTTATACTTACCTTTACATTAAAAGTTCAGAATACTCTGTTACAGCTTTGATTTCATTATCAGATAATTTATCTATGCCGCACACATTTATGAATGATAATAAGTAAGTTAGTTTACTGCCTAGTTTTACAGGTTAAAAACTACCAATGGATAGGTTTATTGTTGTACAGTTCTACGTGTTTTCGGATTTTACTTATTAACAGATCCGCTATAAGAAGCGTCCAATTTAAAATCCCCACCTTGTATATAAGTATGATAAATTTATTGATTTAATAACTTTTATAAAAGTAGTGTTTAAAATCTAAATTTTGATTTAAAAATCTCTCATTTACCAATTTGTAAAACTTTTAATTAAATCACCCATCATTAATTTAAAATTCTGATTTAAATCATTTATTGATTTGGAAAGATTTAGAATTTCCATTTTTTTATCAACATTATGAATTTCGGAACACCCTGTATTTATATTTTTATTTTTGGACTTTTATGCTGTTTACAAAAATGTAAAAATACCACTTGATATTGTCAAGTGTCTATAGGTGGAAAACAATCCCAAACAACTGTATTGTAGGTACAACAGTTTGCTTTTGAGGAGATAAATATTTTATCAGGCGCTTTCTAAATTTTATTGGCTGGTAAATAAATAACGAAGGTCAAAAAAATATAAATAAAAAAAACATTCTGATAGAAGCAAAATTGTGTACTTCATTTTATTATTTTCAACAAATAGTGTATTTTTATGTATTAGGTGATGAATGTTTTAATTTTTTTATACTACCACGAAAACTAGAATAGAATACATTATTTTAATGGTACACTTGTGAGTAGAGGAAATAAATCTAGAACAACTTTAAAAAATATTCCTGCTAATTTATTTGCCAGTGTCGTATCATTAAATAGTTGTACGGTTAGGCCAAAAATTATGATTGGCTTTTTTTATTGTAAATGATTTAGAATGCG